TTGTCCATTTACTTTTTAACATGGCTTTTTTTTGCCCAGAACTCAGAATAAAATTATAATTAAGTATTTTTTTTTTGCACAGTCTTGTTGAAAAAAGACTTCTATTACTTAATGTAACAGAACTTTATTTAGAGTTAATTAATAATTTTTTTGACTTCATGATTGGGTTTTCTAAGTTTTGTGAACTTAGATGGAAGTGGTATATTGTTATTGGGGGTGCTTCAGGTGGATGATTTTATTGAAAATAAAGTCATCCAATGGAAAAGTTACTGGAACTATATCATATTCACTGTTGGCTTTTTGCCACTGATTAAAAGTGATATTTTCCATGCTTTGTTTTTAAACAAAGTAGTAAGATACTCTTTAAATGTGTTGGTATCTGGGCAGTTACTGCAACTATGCAGTATGCACAGTCTCAATTTGTTAAGTCACATACAACTAAAGTCAAGATATTTTTAAAGTCTAAAGTATCTGCTATTTTTCATGCAGATATTTTATACTTTAGTTTGTTAGCAACTAGACCAATTAAGAGATTATACATCACTGTATAGCATATAGCATATTAAGTAGCATATTTGCAGCATCTAAAAATAACATTTCTAAGTAATCATATTTTAATACTACTAGACTTGCTAAAAATTACAGTTTTATAATTCAAAATGCTGTACAGGATTTCCATTGGAGCAACAGTCAAGCAACATTTCATCCTTTTTGTTATTTACTATACGGAAAAAAATGTTAAAGTGTTTGTATCTTCATTTGCAACACAATACAAACTCAGTTCATTGTTTCATTTACAAAGTAATAAAGCATTTAAAAGAGTTAATGCATCAATTTAACCATTACATTTATTTTAGTGATAATGCAATTTAACAATATAAAAATTATTAAAACATGTCTAACTTATGTAACCATAAACAAGTTCATAAGGTATTTGTAGAGTGGCATTACTTTGCTGCATCACATGAAAAGAGTGCTTATGATGGCATTGGGGGGCTCTGTCATTAGTCTTTTAGCAAGGGCCAGTTAACAATCATTAACAGATTCTATCAATGTGTCTGAAGTGTATGGTTGGTTTACCCAAAATATCAAAGAAATAGATTTTCAATACACTTCAAATGATTTTATTGCATAAAGTTTAAACTAGTAGAACCTTATGCTACTTATTCAATGATTTCAGGAACAAGAAACCACTATTGTTTTATACACAAACATTAACTACTTTACAGATGATATGGGTATCATTTGACAATGTGTATACTTATGAAAATGTTTCTACAATTCAGTATAGAGTTCCACTTGCTTTTTTACCAGGAATTATTATAGCATGTGTATATGATGCAAAATGGATTTTAGGCAATCTTGTGAACATCTGAAACATCTGAAAAAATCAAGATATTCTAATCAAGTTTATAAAGCAGTCTCTTTTCTTAAACACTTTTACTAGGCCGCATAAAGAAAAAATATGCTGGGTTCCATTAATGCACATTTAATGCAAAAAAATTTCATCTTTAAAAGTTCAATCAACAACTGCTAGATGCTATGAACTATCACCTCAAAGTCACATCAATCAACAACTGCTAGATGCTATGAACTATCACCTCAAAATCACATCAATCAACAACTGCTAGATGCTATGAACTATCACCTTAAAAAAAACTGAAATATTACATTACAGCATAAATAAGATAATTAAATAAAAACATAGCAAAGTTATTATAAATTATTAATTTTTGTAATTATTATAAATTATTTAGATTTATTTGTTTTAAACCTTTATAGTTATTTTGTAAAAACTGATTTTGAAGCATATTTGTTAAAGAGATTAAATGTTTATATTGATTGTTTATTACATAATAATATTTTTAATTGCATAATATCCAGAACTTGTTTTAAATAAAAAAATGCTAAACGCAATAGCCTAATGTGAATTTGACATCATAAAATTCTCTAAATTTTTTTATTTTTCAAAGACATTTAATTTTACAAATTACTGCAATAATAATAATTACCGCAAAATAAGTTAAATATTATTTAACTTTTTTATCATTGCTATAAGGGAATGTTTATTTTTAACTTAAATCAAGCCTTCCTAGGAAGTGACTGCGGTCGCACGCCTTGTTCGTCCATGTTTAAACGGCAGTTCCCATCTTTTAATTGCGGCAAAACAGTAAACTTATCTTCTAAGAAAAAAAAAATCATCCTAATAAAAGGAAACAAAATTGTAACAAAATATCAAGTTTAATTAAATTAAATTTAATAATTGTTAATGATTTAAAAAAAATTTAATAATTGAAAATAGTAAATAACATTTTTTTTTTATTTATAAAATTTTTATACATTTTTTTTTTATACAATTATTAATTTTTATACAATTATTTTTTTTGAGTCATTGTTGAAAAAAACATCTTTTATAAAGATTCAACAATAATTGAAAGTTTTTGCAATTTATTCATGATTTTTATATAGTCCATATAGTTAAGAAACTAATTTTGCTAGGTACGCTAGAACTATGAGAAATTTTGTTAATTTTTTTTTTTACGTTTATTCATTTTGTGCGACTTTTTCTTTTAATTTAATGTTTTAAATTTGATGTTTTTTTCTCAATAATAATTTAACTGGAAAAAAAGAAAATAAATTGTTATTTTTTTTTTAAATATTTTATTTAATTAATAAATTTTGTAATGACAGAATAAGTTAAATAAAAGAATAACATGGTTTCTTTAATAAATGTATTTGCTGCATTTGATGCATGTCTGAAAGTTTCTTTTAAATTTCCCAATTTCCAATGTTAATACAAATTACTAGAGATGTGAACAAAATGATTGCTCCGTTTAAAAAAATTTATTTAAAAACTTAAAAAAAAGTTTTAAATAGGCTCCTAGTGATCAATTTGTGAATTGTTTTGACAAGTCAAATAACTCTTATAACTTGGTATAAGTGGTTATCCAAATTTAAATATGATAATTAAATTAAAGTCAAATAAATAGGGAGGGGTGGAGTAGTGAAGAGGTTTAAAAAAATATCACAGAATTTATTGTCATGATAATAAATAGTATGGAAATTAGACTAAAAGTCTTTCTCTTCATTTTTACCTAACAAGCTACTTATAAGTTTTATACGCTGTCTTTTTACTAACATTACAAACTCAAAGTCACTTCATGCATCAAAAATAAAACCAGACAATGTTAGTAAACAACCGGGGTTGATATTTGACCAGGGCTGAGGCTGGGTTTGATAAAATATAGCTTGGGCCGGGCTTGTGACTGGGACTGCATAAACATTTATACATCCTAAAGGAAGTTTGTTTTTTTTCAAAATTTATGTTTGATTTTGTATATATATGCATTTATAATTTATGATGATGATGATCATTATGATCAACATGATCATGATCATCATTATCATCATCATCATCATCATCATCATCATCATCATCATCATCATCATCATCATCATCATCATCATCATCATCATCATCATCATCATCATCATTGCTATCATTGCCATCATCGTTATCATCATTATCATTATTGTCATCATCATCATTATCATCAGCAGGTTTTAGCCTTCCTAGTTTATGCTGTTTCTCTAATCATGATCAATGCTCAAATGAGCTATCATCTTTGTTACAATAAACCAAAACTCATTCTTGCTTGGCATCCTATTCAACAAGTTGCATCCTTTTACTGTATCTGTCCCTATTTATTAAATACTGGCATAAATATATGCCAGAATTTAATAAATAGTAAATGTAAGTATAAAATTTTAATATATAAAGATATAAGTAATTTCTAGCCCTGGCTATCAACCCCTGCTAAATCTTACAATTTTGCCGGGGCCAGATTTGCAAAAAGTCTCATTTTTAGCCTACACACTGTTTACTACACACTGTAAAATATATAATTACAATTTTTTTCTAGTTTTTGGCAAAAATGTGCAAGTGGACTAATGCAAGAATGTTTATAAACTAAGTTTAATTCAGGCTTTTAAGACTTACTTCTAATAATAAAAGTTTACAAGAGATTATATAAAAGGTGCGAAGTAAAAAAAAAAAATTGGAAATAGAATTAAAGTAAAGGTAGATAAAAAATTATATTGTTATTTAATAGTATATGATTTTAATTATGTATCAAGTGAAGTTTTTTTCTCATATGGATACCTTCTTTAATTTTGAGCTCATACTTGGAGGAAGTTCTGTCAATAATGGAAAAAGAATCAAGACTTGTTGAGTTTTTCCATTTTTGTGATGAAGCAAGATGCTAGTAAATTTGAGATGACTTATCAGAATTTTAATGTTCTGAAATCCTTGTTGTGTAATATCTGGTGGTTTAACCATGCCGGATATATTGGTGAATAGTAGAGTTAGTATAAGAAATTTATGTAAAAGTGCTTAAAGGACACAAGGTGACTGGGAATAATAAGACATGCAAAGTTACTATTCCCAGAAGAATCAAGATAATGATGATGATGGTGATGATGATGATGATGATGATGGTGATGGTGGCAATAATAATGATGATAAAATTTCCTCTAGGATTTATTTCTCTAATTTCCTCTGGGTGTGCAGATCAGAAATGATATGGAACAGCAGGAATATATTCTCAATATAAATAAAATACTATGATGGAAAAGTTACAAGTTTAAAAAACAAGAGAATAAATTGCATACATCAGTAGTATTGATCTAATAAACAATAGGGAATATTTAATACATTTATGTGTAAAAAATTTGTTTAATGCTGTAAAAATTCAAAATCTTAAAATAAGGTTGTTGCAAAAAAAAATAAAGTTTAATGAAATTAATTTTAGTTTTTCTCTATCAATATCTATTAAATTTATGAAAAATTAATAGATATTGACAAAGATTTGATTGACCATAATAGTGTGGTTTTTATGCTTATAACAATTGACTTTAAACAATACGAATCAAACACAAAAATATAAATGAAGAGAAATATAAAACTCTATTTGTAACTTTATTTATTGTTTTTTTTTTAGTATGAAAAGATGTATGTTGTCTACTCCTGTCTGTTATGTAAATTACTTAAAAGTTCACATGAACAAAATACACAGGTTTTTATTGTTATGTTTTGTTAATGTATTATTATAAAATGATCTCAAAATGCTGTTTGTTATGTTCAAAAACATTGTTGTGTTTGAAAGATATAATATAAAAATAAGTTTGAAAATTCAATAATAAATACTTTTACTTTTTACTTAAGTATCACTGACTCTTAACTAAACTTTTTTTAATTAGTTTCAATAATTAAATTGTTTATTTAATTATTGAAACTAATTTTTATTGTGCCTAATTTAAATGAAACATTAAAAACTTATAGTCAGCAATCATTCTTCATTTTCAAAATTATTTGCATATAAAAAGTAGGGTTTCATGTAGGGTGCAAGTTTCAGCAGAGCACAGAGAGCATTATTCTCATCCATTTGTTCAAGTAAATTTGCACTGACAGACTGAATAGCTTTGATATTTGAAAAATTCCATCAATAACTTTTGATGATAATACCATCAGCATGAACAGAACACAGGTCAACAAGACCTTTCTGATCAATTTATATATATATATATATATATATATATATATATATATATATATATATATATATATATATATATATATATATATATATATATATATATATATATATATATATATATATATATATATATATACATATATATATATATATATATATATATATATATATATATATATAATATATATACATATATATATATATATATATATATATATATATATATATATATATATATATATATATAAAATAATTATATATATATATATATATATATATATATATAAAATAGTATATATATATATATATATATATATATATATATATATATACATATATATATATATAAATATATATATATATATATATATATATATATATATATATATATATATATATATATATATATATATATATATATATATATATATATATATATATATATATATATATATATATATATATATATATATATATATATATATATATATATATATATATATATATATATAGAGAGACTTGGTCGGGAAGTGGGTGCGATCGCACTTGATAATTGACCACGGAAATATTATTTAGTTGCAAAAAACCGGCCAGATTTTTTAGTCGTTTTAAGAACATTTCAAAAACAAACAAAAAAGCGCAATAAGATTAACTGGACCAATGAGAGACAGTTAAAAAAAGAAAAATAGCTTTTAACGCGAAAAAATTTTAATCATAATAAATGTATTAGAGCAATTATTTTTGTATTAGAGCAAATAAAATGTACTACAGCAAATAATTTTTTTTATAAAATTAGGCGACATTTTTTATATAAAGTAACAACTATAAAGAAACAATGTTCTTCGATTTATCAAAGAGTATATATAATTTTTATTTATATACTTATGTCTTATTTCCAGTGCTGGATTGAAGAGGTGGGGTGGGGGTAATAGGGCTATAGCCCCGGGACTCACAATGTTAGGGGAAATAGTCAAGAGGACAATTCGGTATTTTTTTTAGTCATTTTTATGCTGTGGCACATAAAAAAGGCTGCTAAAATATTATGGATATAAATATATCTGTTTGCTATTTGCACACATATTATGGATATAAATATATCTGTTTGCTATTTGTTTAGATGCTGGCATACAATATCCTTTTAATGTTATATAAACTTTAATATTTGTATGGTGTAGTATTTGCTGAAAGAGATGATCAGATAGATGTGTGGTGTGACTTTAGCAAGATATAAAAAGGAGACATAATCTTAGACAGATTAGAAAAATTGTTGTATCAAACAACCATTTTTTTAGAAAAGGTTAAAGTAATTTAGGTATCAACATGTAGAGTGGTAGCAGCTTCAATATAAAATGGTTGTGGTAGAAGTAAGAAAATTTGAAGAGTGTGTCTTACATATTGTATAAATGAGCTTTAGTTAATAATAAAAGTGCACTAGATTGTTTATATTAGAGAAAGAGCTTAAAAGAGGAAGGCTTATGATGATGATGATGATGATGATGATGATGATGATGATGATGATGACAATCATGATGATGATGATCATAGATTTCATTGTCATTGTCATTCTTTCCGCTTTTATGCTGTTGATGATGATGATAAAGATGATAATGATGATCATGATGATGATTATGATGATGATGATGATGATGATGATGATGATGATAATGATGATTGTGATGACCATGTTGATTACAATGATGTTCATATATGCATATGTATACAAAAAATAATATGAATTTTAGATAAAAAAATATGCCTAATGTTTAAATGTTTATGCAGCCCCGGTCACAAACCCGGCCCTGGCCCTGGCCCAGGCTATATTTTATCAAACCTGGTCATGTCACCGGTTAAATATCAACCCGGGTTGTTTACTACTTATCATCTTCTTCATTGTTTTCATATTCACTGTCGTCAGCCTTAGAGTCAGAATCACTAGAACCAGGTTAGTAAGATAATGAGTTGGATGACTCATTAGAAAGTTTTTGTCTTTTAGAGGGATGGATTGTTTCTTTACTGGCCGCTTGGCCTGTAGAGTATCCCACTGTTCATTTGCTTTCCACTTTGAGATGGTACAATCACTTGTCCTCGGAAGATAATCATGTTCCATCCGCTTTAGTAATATTAAAAATTTCATCAAGCTTTCCGGCTTAACACATTTATCATAACACTTCATTATTTTAGCAAGCTTTGCTTGTATAACTTGATCAGATACATGAGGAAAATTCAGTTTATTCTTCCACAATTTGGTGACTTCTTTGAAAATTTTGGTAGCGTCAGATAATTTGCTTTTGGAGAGGCATTCTGCACTTTTCTTCCAGTAAATATTCTTACAAAGGGACCAATCTTATTTTTTTATGAGAGTATTAAAATTTTACCAAATTATTGGTCCAGACATCCTTGTTTTTTTGAATGCTACTATCGCTAGGCTTGTGCAACGCCATGTGTTGCTTCTTTAATAACTATAAAATTAGATGAGCAGCTATATATAGTCTAAAATGTTCTAGAATATTCCAGAATATCTAAATTGTTCTAGAATGTTCCAAAATGTTTTAAATTGTTCTAGAATGCTGTAAAGTCTTCTAAAGTATTCTGTTATTTTCCAAAATGTTCTTGAGTTCTATACACTTCTAATCTATACAAGTTTTAAATGGTTTGCAGGAAAGCCACATGTATTAGTAGTAGCAGTAACAAGATTAAATAAATGACAAAATGTAATTTGAAATGCAGGGTGACCTTTTTTTACAACCGAGAGGAATTGAACATGTTTTCAAATAAAAGTTCATTGATTTATGACACAGAAAATTAATTTTTTTTTTTTAAAGTCGAAAAATCATAACTCTTATATATATATATATATATATATATATATATATATATATATATATATATATATATATATATATATATATATATATATATATATATATATATATATATATATATATATATATATATATATATATTTGTTCGAATGATTTGGCAGCAAAAGATGCAAAATCATCAGAACAAATCGCATCTCGAGTTATTTCCAATAAAGAATTATCTCCGGAAAGAACTATTCTACTGGCTAAAGCAATTGGCTGGCCTCCACTTACAGTTACCCCTGGTAAATATTTATACTTAAATAATTTTAACATATATATTGAAATAAAGTCTGGACTATTGATAAATAACACTAGGTAGATTTCAAGAAGTATATTTTTGACAAGTTTCTAATTTCTTTAAAAAAGAATAATTTGAAAGTTTTACACAAACTTACTAAACAAAGTTTATTGTAACTATAAAATATGTATGTTTTGGTTTTAGGTCAAAGTAGTGCGCAGACACCATCAAGTGCTCCAAAATTGACCACAGACACAGACGAAAAAACAGATTCTTGTACAGTTCATGCTGTTGCTCACTACAATGATTTATCAAGTCTTGTGAATCATGTTATTCAGTCCCGCAAAATTTCTGGTGGCTATTTTGTTAAGCTCGGAATTGATAGTGGCAAAAGTTTTCTCAAGTTTTGCCTAAGCATTGTTGATACTGCGTTAAGGGATGAAACCAGCTCACCGCACCAACAGCAACCTCTCACTCAAAGGACTGGTAAATACACTGAACTCAAGAGACAAATTATTGTTGGGGTTTTAGAAGATTTGCCAGATACACACTCCAATATTGAACAAATCTGGTCACTAATTAATGTAAATGGAGTTGAACTAATTTTGGCTTGTGATATGAAAGTTGTAAATATAATTTGTGGTCTTCAAACTCATTTAAGTACGCACCCTTGCACCTGGTGTGACGTCAAATCCAATTATCTTGCCAAATATGAAAACTTAGGAACACTGGGCTCAATTAATTCAAGCCTTGAGTCTTTTCAGCAATCTGGTGGGGTTGTTGCTAATGCAAAGCTGTTTGGCAATGTTATTCGAAAGCCAATCATCTGCGGGCCTGTCAATGTTCTGATTTTAGAAATCATTCCATCGATGGAATTGCATGCAAGCTGTTAAGTGGCCAGTTGTCCTCCACATTCAACTGAAACTGTATCACAGTTTGAGGGAAATGAATGCAGGAAGCTTCTTAAAAATGTGGGTATGCTGCAGCAACTTGCTGAGACAAACATGGTTCCCAATATTGTGTGCATAATTAAAGCATTCAAAAGCTTCAATTTAGTTGTCAAGGCTTCCTTTGGATACATCCTTCAGCCGGATTTTGCTGAAAAAATTGAAAATTTCAAAAAGTGTTACCTAATGACAACTGGTGCAAGTGTAACAGCCAAAATTCACGCCGTCTTCTACCACATCAAGGATTTCATCAGTCACAAAGGATCCCCATTGGGGCCCTATAGTGAACAAACTGTCAAAACTTCTTATCAAGATTTTTATCAACATTGATCGAGGTATAAGCAAAATAATAATCATCCAGAGTACAAAAAAGGATTTTTGCGCTGCATAATTGATATAAACAGCAAGCATCTTTAAAGGGATCCCCAACTGCCGAGACAAGTTGTGTTCATATTAAAGAAAATGTTTAAA